AATTTATCAAATGAAATTCAAGACAATCTTCATAAACAATATGAATTAAATCATCAAATACGTAATAAAAATAGTGATATTAATTCATGGCCAATTGGTAGTAAATTGAATAAATTCTTTTTATCAATTTCTTTTATCTAACAAATAAATCTATTTTTAGAAGACAAGAATACGTCAACAGAAATTGAATACATTGAATTATCAGATTCCGAGTAACAAAAAACCGAAGAAGTTTTCATTTTGTTGTAATCTTCTATGAAAATTAATATTTAGAGATGAGTTATCACGATGTTCAACAAATATTTCAAATAAAGACCAATATGAAACAATAAATAATACATTAACAACAAATAATAATGAAATTCTACCAGTTAAATACTAAATTTCTTTGTTTTCCGAAAAATTATTTTTTGTCTTTTAGCAAGAAGTTAAAAAAACTAAAAAAACAAATGTATCTTTATTACGTGATTTTTGTCCATTAACACGATATGGTATATTTGGTCTTCATAGTTCATATAATTTATTACGTTTATGTTCAAATAAAAATAATAAACAACGTAATTTATATGCACATTTTACAAGAACTCATCGTATTAAATCATCAATAGCATGTGAATTACTTAAAGCTATTCACAATAATTGTGATCCAATCGAAACAAAAATCTTTCCTCAAGATCATACAAAAGCTTTTATTGAAAATATTCAATGTCCATTTGATAATACGGCAACCAGATTTACTAAAGAAAATTCTATACCAAATACACCATGTTATTCTTCAATTGTAAGGCACAGTTTTAAACATCATTTATGTCATGCTCATTCTATAACTAAACTAAATGCAAAATTAATTTATAAAGCTATGACAGATTATGGTACTATAAGTCATATACAATTCGAAGAAGATTTATGTGATATTAAAATTAGTTAAAATTGTTTCGTTTTTTATTTTGTTTTTATTTGATTCTTGTTTAATTCATTTGTTTAGACTTATTAGATAAAAACTTGTGAAGATATTTTCAACAAGTTTTTCATATGTATATATTTGGTGATTTTGATTAGATAGAAGTTTTTTGTATTGATTATGTTGCTTTAGAAAATGATTTGTTACTGTGATTTCTTGTTTTTGGTGATTTTATTAATAAATGATCGTGAAAATTAAAGCATAACTATGTCAATGAAAAATAAAATAAAATAGTTTTTATGGTTGCAAAGCTTGGGTTTTTTTAAATGCGATATGTTAGCGTTCTGAGTTTCGTTTGTTTAGTACAGCACAACATTTTTGGTTGTTTTGTTTTCTTATATCGTTATCCGAGAAACAAATTAGATAATCATTAAGAATAAGTCATGAAACTAATTTCTAATAATCACCATTGAAAATGAAAAGAAGATAGCATGGTTGCGCAAATCCTAATATGATGTTATTTTTTGGTAAAATTTTGAAATATCTTAATTAGTGCTACTCTATTAGAATAAACATTGTTTCTTTGAATTTTATCCTATTTAAGATACACATCTAATATTCAACATTTCTATTAGTTCAACCGAAAGTAGGGTTAGTAATATCTGAGAAATTTACATTATTCACGCAAATTCACAAGCATAAAGAACACACACACATCATCGACTGTTAATCCACAATCGTAGATTAAAAAATTACTAACTGTACTTAAAACATTGACCTGGTAACATTCAATCAGCATCATATATTCCAAATTCATTTAAACATCAACCAAATGTCTCATAACTAATTCAGTGCTGAGTTAGCAACAGAAATACAAGCGTTTGACTAGCAATCAATATATGATCGAATATTGTTGATCGAGCTTTATACTTGGACGAGATAAGAAGAAAAGGACAATGTGCAATTCGAAAATGATAATGCTAAATAATAAATAGTTGTCAATACTTGAGTTATTAATGAATTATTTGATGTAAAATCGATTATAAGTGATGCCGAAACCAAAGTCTGATGAGTTATATAATCGATGCTGGTATTATCCAAAAAGAAACTCTAAACGGTAGATTTGATATTTCAAGAGCAAGAAAGCCTGTCGCTTGCAAATATGAGGGAAAAGAACTTATGAATGGAATCGGATTATAATTATGACCAGTAAGAATTTCAAAATTCGAACCAATTGGTAAAATTAAATTTAGAATGTCATCAAGCAACAGATGATTTGGATTAAATACGAAAATGAACTGTCAATGCTGCTTATTTTAGAATTTCACATGAATATTTGACTTGATTATCAACTGATAATTCATTAATATAAAACTAAAACTATTTTCATCGATACACAATGGACTATCTATTTATTGAAAAAATATTAATATTGAAAACGTAAACCTTACAAAAAACATTTCAACGTAGACATAAAAATGTATGTAAAACAAATAAAAGAATCTCAATTCTATTTACTTTAGATGAAACAAAGATTCTACGTAATGGCAATACATATTTTATATTACTATTATCTAGAACATATGTGTTCTATACGTTCGATGCTGCTAAAGTTCGCATATAATCGATATGAAAATTGTCTAGTATGCCTAAAAATAGAAATATAGAAATATGACCGTTTTATTTGGTAATAATGTTCCATGAAGATACTTATTTGGCACTCTTATTGTGACACAAATTATAAAAACAGCGCGTATTAGTTGTTAATCGAAATAGATTTCGTATAATCTTCATAAAAACGATAATACAGATGATAAATCGAACTATTATAATGAACAGTAATTTGAAAGTAGAAGTCGATATCTGATACAATGCAAATAGTATATTGTGAAGTATATTAATAAAAGCTATTGAATATATCCATAGATCAATACTATAATTGTTATTCTCCAAAAGATCGTAAGAACTTAAAACCAATTGATTTTCATTTTAAAGTAAACGATATGGTTTTAGCAGCATCATTTCTGATGAATACAAGAGTATCTATTCCAATACGATTACATTATTTGGTTTCGTTTAAATAGTTGCTGTCGAATGTATATTAAGTTAAGAATAATACATCCTCTATCCATGTGTGTTATTCAGAAATGTCATACTAAAGTCCTGTAGTCCTAATTGCTTTGAAAATCATAATTATCTTTTGAAAATTTTCAGAATATATACGTATCTACGCTCTATTTATTTGTTGTAGTTGGCAAACTCATAATTAATATTTCAGATTTATTTTATTGTTAAATAAAAAATGTAAGTCTACTAGTTTTTGATGGTATTAGTTGATGTTATGAATGAAAAAACATACGACTGTTTAAATACATATTTGATCGTCTATACGTTGTACTTAGTAGTGATTTAAGAATGTGAAATAGTTGTCTCTAAAAGTGTCGTTATCATAGTATTACTATAATCCTTGTATCAAAAAAAAGATATTGTCTAATAAATCGTAATTGGTTTTTTAAATACTTCATTACCTGTCAATGGACAAACAAAATATCGCTGGATTTGACTAAATCATAAATTGACATGCGTAAAATAAAAGCAATTATAAGCTGTTGATCTCAAAACAGAATACGTGTAGGTTAGTAGAGTTACGCTTTCTCTGCCTAATGGAGCATATGCTATCAAGTTGTAATGCGTACCGTTGAGATATCAACAGAGGACCCTATCTTCGCTACAATCACAGTAGAATGCATCGAATATAGTGCCCTCTATGATATCTCAACGGTATATACAATAGAACTTGACAGTACTTACACGTACACCAATAGATAGAGAAAGAATTCGTTTATAAATCTACCCATATCCCATATATGAGGGAAAAATTACTACGAAATTTATAGTTCCCTTTAAATAAACGAGGTAATGAAAGAGTAGGATATTTTTTCCAGGCAACTTGTGATTATATTGTAATCATCTATGAATTTGACCATGATACAAAAAAAGTATGATACTCTCTAGAAAAGATAAATCAACAATAACCAAAATAGATACAGAAATAAATGTTGTGCATATTTATTTTTCTGCTAAGTGATAAAAATTTCCAGTTTTTAATTGATAAAAGAGACGATTTCAATTTAAAAATATGTAAAGATTTTAAATATACGTGTTTTTTCGTGCTTTATTAATATTAAATAAACCCACAAAAGTTGTTGCAATTATTGACACCAATAAAAACATTTCTAAAGCACACAGAAGTCTACCAATGGATGAGAATATGCAAAAGGATGAATACGACTTCCTGGAAAACAATTGGCATTCGATTAGTATTTTGATTCAATTATTCATAGAATGTACTGTTAACATAAAGAAATTTATTTTTTTTAGTTTGAACGATTCTTCAAGTACTTGGCAAACTTTCTAGTAATTGAACGTCAAAAACAAACCAAAAGACAAGAAAAAAAGATTATATAATTTACTTCACTAAGAAAAACAAAGAAACGGCACATACGAGAAAGATAATGAAATAAAAAATTTTTATCCTATCTTTCAGTGCTTCATTTTTATATTAGTGATTAATCAATACGCCATAAGATTTAAAAAAAAAGAACATTATCTACGTGAAAGCTATCAGAAGTCAATGCACTTTCAGTTTAAGTACGGGTTACAATGCAACAATAAAGACTCATATAAAACAATCAGTCTAAGAACAAAGAAAAAAAGAAAGATTCACAACAATCATTTCGTTACGTTATATAAACTTATCAATCATTAAAAAGATTATTATCGTTAGTTTATGAAGTAATTTCCGTTTAGTTTTTATCAGTAGTGGTTCGATGCAGTCAACATTGAATTGGAGGGGTATTACACTCCTGACATCGCCTTTGCATTCAGTCCATTCACCACTGATTTTAATATTTATAAATCTTTTGAATATAAATAACTTTCATTCTACTGCAGTCGAGACTATTTAATTCTATTATATCAAAACAAAATCTATATTTATCACGGCTCTTTCAGCCTATTGATTAAATTTATTTTTATTTCAATATTTGGTATTCATAAAAGTGCAATGTATTAAAAACTAGCAAGTTTTTTTTCCAAATCAAGATGTTGTTTGATTTTTCTTTTGTTCTTCACGTAATTTTCTAATTTTTCGTTTAATATGAGCACCAGCATATTTTTCATATTTTTCTTGCCATTTAGGATCTCGCCACCAATCAAATTTAAGTTCTCCATTACAATTTTTTGCTCCACATCTACATATTAAACCAGTCCAAAAGCTATTTTCAGAATCCATTAAACCATAATGATAAGTAAGTTCTTCGCCTTCAGCAATATCTCGAATAGCTATAACAAGTTCTTCTTCGTCACCACCAAATCCACAATTTGGATCACATGAATGATTAAAAAGTAAGCAATCTTCAGTTATCTCTCGAGTTTTATAATGACGTGGTACATCAAATAAATCATCATCAAGCATATAAGTATAATAACGAAGATAATCAGCTGATTCTGGATTAGCTTTCATTAAAGCAGCAACTTCAGCTTTTGTCATTTTATTAGTTGGGTCTTCAAGTTTATAATAGTTGCATACTGATAAATCACACGTAAAAACAGGTTCTCCGGCTCGAATGGGTTCAAGAGCTACTACACCACGATGTTCTTGTCCATATTTCGACGACAAATCGCGAGTTTCTATTTTCTTTAAGAAAGGCATTGTTGTGTATGTCAGTAACCAATCTACTATCGGCCAAAGAAAGGACACGTAGATATTTATATATGTGAAACGACCTTGACTGATAAAAGGCAGGTACTGGTAAAATGAAAAATAAAGCCAAAGTACATCAAGAAAGAACAAAAAGAAACGTCGCCGACTCTTATTTGATGATTAGTTTGGTAAAAGAAAACGACAAGTAATTTTAAGATTTAAATGAAACTTGAGGATAAAATTTTTTTTTCAATACACTACTTGACAGACCTCAGGCATCAATAGTGTATTGGTTGTATGCTTCTTGTTCAAGTATATGAAATATATACTATATTCGTTCAATAAACACATTCAATTCACTTTCTACATTTGAAGTCATTAGAAAAATCACTTAGTCTTTTCGATTGGTCTGTTATTGTCTCGCATAGAAGTAAAATATCTACTGAGAAGGAACATCTGTTAAATGCACCTGTAATACAACATAAAAGAGCGTTAGCACAAAAGTAAGACTATATTAGTTATTATACTTTTTTTTATCGATGGTCCGAAATGGTTTTTCATTCGATCCTTCTGTACGAAAAAAAAATCAGACTGAGGATACTTATTTACAAGTTATTTTTGCCTAAACTTTCCCGATTGATTTTATTGCAATATCAATAAATAAAGATCAATATCCTTTCCGCCATTTGGATTTTTATTTTTTTATTTCTCTCTCTCTCACATCTTCGTGATTGTAATATTAGTATAATTCATTTAGTTGTTCTGATTCATGAAATAATTATTTATTTGACTCATCTTAATAGATGCTTGTTTGAAAATGTTTGAAAAATCCGATTTTTAACATTCTTTACACTTTATTTGATAGTATTAATACTGTTTTACAAAATTAGATTATATTATGATTTATCTAGGATCTATTTTAAAGAAAATTCAAACACACATATTTCGTATACTGCGTAAATTTGGAATTTATTTTAAAAAACTTAAAGAAATAGCTTCTATTATTGTTGAATTTCTAAGGTAATTAAGTCATACGTATTATAAAATCAACAAAATCGAAAACAATATTTTGTATCGACCTTGAAGTACTTTTTATGCATATGAATAAATCGAAAAAGTCACGTATCTATTCAAGTCCGATAAGAAAAAATAATGTCATTTTAATAACCTCAAATGTATGAGTATTCGCACAAGTGCCGAAGACTGCTTTGTTCGAGCAATAAATGCTAGAAGCCTAACTTTCTCACTCATACAGATAGAGCAAAGTATATGCATTTTGAAATACATATTTAAAATAAAATTTACAGTGTAGTTTTAATATTTTAAAAACCACTAAAAATGCTTTGTTACTAAGGAATACATTGTCTTATTTTCATAACTTGCATTATGTTGACTAAAAAGAAAATTACTGTGTTCAAACTTGGAAAGAACAAGGCTGCAACATTCAGAGTTTTGGAAAAGTAATTTTCTATTTTTCTGTATATTTAGGATAGTCAGCAATCAGTGTTAGAAACAAAATAAGTAACATCCATGATTTTTGATAAAAGTTTCAAATACTGGTATGAAAACAAACTTTTAAAAAGCTATTCAAAGTGTATAGCTTTTTGAGTCTTACAAGAATACATATAAAACATTAGAAAAATACATTGTTTTGAGTTCATAGAATTGCATTCATTTGATTTGAACTTGTTTCAATCACAACTAATGTAGATACCAAAGTGTATACTCCATTTGAAAGAATAAAAACAAACACATAGCTAAGATATGAAAGAATACTTTATGTTATCTTTGCAAAAAGGTGTTTATATATGGTTTTAAAAACATTAGAATTTAGTGTCTTAAACTACTTTGTAAATTTTACCTTGAATATGCATTTCAAAGCATATATTTTGCTCTATTTATAAGTGAAAAAGTTAAACGCCTAACATTGTTCATTCGAACATAGCAAGCATCAGCATTTGTGCAAACACCTATGTATCATAGATTATTAGACAAGCTTTTGAAAGTTTAAAACTTTAATTAATTTTCAAAATTAATTTTTCTCGTTCACCTTAATTTTGATATCAAGTTTGCTTTTGTTTGTATGATCCAAAACGGCCATGAAGCACTTTTCTTCTCTAATACTTTTCAGTTATGCAACAAGTAAAGATGATAAGATTTGTAATTCATTTGATTCAAGAAAGATAATCAAAATATAATTAATTGAGCTTTATGGTTTAGAAAAAGGAGAAACTACAAACAAAGTCAGTTTTTCATATATAATGAATTCATTTCGTAATTTCATTCAAAAGCAAATTACTCGCACATTTATGATATCCGAAAATTAAGCATGTGAACAAACAATTTAGGTTTTTAAAACTTACATCAGTAACCAATAGGGATACACCGATTCTTTAACCGTTGTTTCAATGGTGGGTTTTTTCTAGTATTGAAAATTCATTGTTTTGTCAATTTTTTTAATAATAGTTAAAATTTATGAGTTTTAACAGAAAATTCTCCCGATACCAATCATTTTCGTAACATTTTTTAAACTTTTCAAAAAAAATTCAAACAATAGCGGTGAATTGATAACCACTGGCATGAGTGACTAACGGAAGCTTGTAGTTTTGATTATTGAAAATATTTTGTCTTTGGGTATGGACGTACCAATATCAGCCAACGCAAGGATCTTCACTTCAAAATTAACGTATCTGTAGCATTGCCAATCTCTAGACTCACATAAACTGTGCTCAATTTAAAATGCTCAACCTGATGCTAAAGCTTGATTTCCTGGAAAAGTTTTAAAATGTTATAGAATTGATCAGATTTTCTCTTTCAAATCATACAGTTTGACCAATTCTGAACCTTGATTTGTAAACTCGATGAAATATAATGGTAGCACCAGTTAGAGCAATAGAAACTGAGCAGAATTATTATAACAAAATTGACAAAGCAATGAGTTTTCAATATTGAAGAAGATCATCTTTGAAAATACTATCTGAAAATTGGTGGATCTTCAGTAACTAAAATTATTCATGGTTCATTCAAAAAGACAATTTTAGCTGAGTAATTGTTATACTCTCGATCAAGTCTTCGCGATGTGATATGTTATTGAGGCACTATTGTATTTGTCCATAGATATTATCAAACCAATTCTACTTGGTAAGAATAATTCATTTTAATATAAATTTACACTCAGTCTGAAATTTTCGATCCTTTTTGTCTAAGTGTTCTCATTATTCGTAACCAAAACATCAACCACGTGAAACCTCTAGTTCTTATCTATTACAAAATAAACAATGATTAAACTTAATAGAAAAAAGTCGAAAATTCCAGATTATCTATAAAAATTATACTAAACTGCATTATTGTGATTCATTATTATCACATGGATATTAGACAAATTTTCTTTCAACCCAATTCTGCTTATTGATGACCTTTCCATCACTCTATATTCGATAATAGAATACTGATATTGACTTATTAACATCATTAATCATTCTCGATATTGTTTTTTGTGTACATTAAAATGAAGTCTTTGTTAATTTACTCGAATGTTTATCATTCATAATGAAAAGTATATTAGAATTGAACCAAATATTGTTAAACTAGTAACACAATGTAATCATTCTATCACATATAAAAATGCTAAGCGATGCAAAAGTCTTTCGAATAGTGTTAAGCAATATTTCGGACTGACGGACATATATTCAAACGAACATTTTATGAACAACTGACAGGAGAAGCACTGACACAATGTATTTGCAACTTCTTTTGTGACTCTTCAAATAATTCTGTAATAAATATGATAAATTATGTTAAAAAACAAAATGTTTCACAATTTATATAAAATGCGAAGTCACAAATAGATTAGACTTGATGTGGTTACCTGTCAAATTATCTAATAAGACTTCCAATGATATTGTTAAATCTCGTGCGATCTAAATCAACGTAAAATAGCACAACAGTTTCGAGTACACCAGTCAACAATTTCACGTACTGCCTTTAAAGACGAACGTCAAACATGATTAGAAAGCCTCAAAAAACTCCCAAAATAGTTAGTGAGCAGCAATGAATTCGAACATGAAAAAATTGTGAAGAAGTATATTGAAAATTGTTAAATGGCAATGATTTAATCATGGGCGATGAAAAAATGCTTTACATAGGTCAGAAACAACCTCATTGGAAATTGATGTTTATTCAGCATATCGAGTTATAATTCTCTCAAATATCAAGTTTCAAAAGAAAGCGAAATCCATGTCACAAGTAATGATTTCAACGACTGTGTCCTTGAAATAGGTTTAGAACGTCAATACCCACAAAAGCAAGCAAGCTGCTGATTAGAAATAGATATTTAACAGAACGCATTAATAACAAACGATTGTCTTTTGTTGATAAATAGCATTGGGATGAAAATGATGTATTCTGATCCGATTTATAAACAATACATAATTCAAATTTTGTTCTAAAATGTTTGAATGAGCAAAACATGCCTTTTATTTCTCGTGCTGACAATGCACCAAACTAGTGTCAAGTTTGTCTAATTGATGTCGGAAAATACATGAAAACACAATTAGGAAGCAAAATATATTGATCAAGAAATATTGAAAACCATGATGGAACGTGTTCGGAAGAAGCTTTGAACTATGTGCAGAGACGAACTGTATTCAACTCTGTACATATAGTTTCTTTTTATTACTTGTCATACTCTTTCTAATGGAAAAAACAATTAGTTTTCTATCTTTTAAAGTGTTTGATCTGTGCAACTCAACATGTTTCCGAAGACGTTTGCATCGCTTATTGGTTTCCCAATTAAATGAAAAAAAAAACAATTTTTTATGTTTTTCAATGCGACAAATAAATCTGTAGATTCAATTGAAATAGCTCACATAATGCGAAATAGAAAACCATATGGTGCTGTATATTCAAAATATTTCTTCAACAATGATGAAGATTGACAGTTTTTAAATAAGCTCATTCAGACGTCTGTAAATAATTGCATTAATTTTCTTGTATATTAAAAAACAAGTTCGCCATAAGAAAAACATGCTTCTACTGTGACAATTCTTTCATACACTATATAAAGCAAATAAAAAATATGGTACTATGATTAAGTTTGAATTATCTTTAAAATGTAATAATTGTAATTACTGACAAACATTAGAGGTACCTTTCAATACAAGATTACATACATGTTTCTAATAATCAGGAGCAGATGTGTCCAAATATGTGATAAAAAAGACTTACATTTAATTGAGCAATAAGATAATTTAAATGAGTAATTATTAAATTTAGCAATAATTATACTGAAGAAGCAATAAATAATACTAAATGAGCAAGAATTTCCTTAAATTAAGGATAAATTTTATATAAAAAGGGTAATATGAATTCATTTATTTATGCAAATACGTATTTTCTCAATTTTATTAAATAAAATATATGGATATGTGTGTGGATGTGGGGTGTACGTGTGAGTGAAGAGAAGACTAATACCCACATCCATCAACACCCAAGGTAACTTGCACTTGCCCATCATTCCTTAAAAATTATATTTCCAAGCACATTATTGGTATATCCATCGGTTAAAATATTGCAAACCTTCACCAGAGGCGAAAAATGTGGAAATTGATACATATAGAACAGGAAGCAGACCATCTAAAGCAAAAAAAAGCTTTATTGACACAATAATATACTATTATTTTCATTTTTCTTTTTTTTTATTTTCAATTGTAACTAATAATAATGTAGTGTTTCTTTTTTTTTATTGGCAAAATATGAAATTACTACTGCTATTTAATAAATTAATTATTGTACATTTAATAATATAAAATTGCTCAGATAAAGTTTTGGTATTGCTTAAAATTTATAGCTAAATCGTATTTTAATTATTGTTCATTCCAATATCTTTATTACTCAAGTAAATACTAGCCAAAAAAAACGATAAATTAATAACAGACCAATACAGTCATATAAAAGCGAGCCTCACGACTGAAAAAGAATTTCAAGGTGAAACTCAACACTTAAACCAAGATATGTAATACCGATATAATTCATGTTTTATTATTATTGAAGACAACGTTCTAAAACACGAGAGACAGGATACTCTACAGTGTTCTGCTGATTTATACGTCTCGAAAAATGCAAGCCAGTATCATAACATCTCAATATAGATTCTATAACAAACATTATTATACTAATACTCAAACCATGATCATATCAGAATCACATAGTTACATTCTAGTTTGATTTTTTTTCTTGAGTTATATGAAATTTTTGAAATTTATGAGTTATACCAGGTGAAAATTATTTATTTGTAGACATTGTTCGGTTCATGCTTTGAATGATTCATATCTTTTTTCTACAGAATGAAAAAAAGAATAATTGAAGTTTTTTTCTATTTGTTTATTGAAAACCTTTCATAAAATGTTTTCTTTACAAATTGTGTTCTTTTAATTCATTTGATTGATTAGATAAAAAGGAGTAAAGTACAACATTTTACTTGTTAAGAGGCTCCATTGTTTCTTTTTTATTATTGCCATTCGAACAATCATATATTTCAGTTATATTTTGTTGATATCAGAAACAACTGAATTGTTAAAAAATTGGTCGTCAGAGTATGATTATTTACTTTCTTTGTTGTGATCATTCTCTATGATATGTTTGAAAAAGCTGTCAAAGGACATACCTGACCGTTTTTTAACCTTGCAACCAATATGTTTCAAAAGATTTGTTTTCTTTGATTCAGACGAATGGAATTTTTTTATATTGTTTGACAATAAAATAGTTAACGATGCTATTAACTTGAAAACATAAATCTAAGCGTGTTTGTGATTGCATGTCGTACACAAAACAGCACGGCTGATAATTTATTGATTATGGCTAACAGAACAACACTGATGCTCGTTGTTTTACCATTTTTTTTTTCAATATTATTTTTTACTTATTTGGATCTAATATACGTTGTCAAGATACAGTGAGACAAACTAAAAAAGTATAAAGAATACAAAAGAAAATGAATATGATCTTTTTATACTTATTAAATACTTTTTCTTAACGATCACATTTATATGTTTCTAGAGAGTCGTACAGGATTCAAAGAGATTTGCCCTGTGTTGAGACAAAATATTGAAGGCAATGCAGGTAAATGATGACCGCATTCGTAACATTCGTTTCATCGACGCCAATGAAAAATCGGCGATTCATTCATGTCATCTTGGCTGGTCTTCTTGGTTTATTTGTAATTTTTATTATATCAAGTTTTATTTATACGTCACCTTCGGTTGTTTTACCTTTAAAAATCGATTATCGACGACGACCTGAATGTACATGTGTAAGATCTGAGTTACCTTCATTATTATCTGTTTTAAAATCTGAACAAAACGATAGTCAAACATCTCTTTGTAGTCAATATGCCACACAACGAGGACCTCATCAACGTATTATTTCAATCAGTCTTTTTGGCCCAAAGGAAAATAAAATGTTTCAATTTAATCGATCACTTAATTTTCTTCATGAACTTATACAAGATCTGAATATGAGATATTCTGATGGATTTGTATTACGTATTTATCATGATAATACAACCAATACAACAGATATTATTTGTCCTATTGAATGTAACCATTCAAATGTGGATTTTTGTGAGATGAATCATAAACTTTATATTCCACCAAAAATTTGGCGTTTTATACCAGCTGGTGATCCATTAGTTGATGTCAGTAAGTTGTAAATTTTCATATTTATTTCTCTTGACTAGTGTTTCCTATGATTAACTTATCTATATGAATAGTTATGAATCTTGAGTAAAACATAACCATGCAAAATCTTTTTTATGATCACGCATATTAGTCGCATATTCTTTGTACTCCGTGATAATAAAATCAACGTTAGTATTAAATAAATAGATATGGCATACTTTTAAGAAAAACATTATATTTGGTATCATTTATACCCAACTGGCCTTTCGAGGGGTATTTCGACGCCTCGATTTTGCACTGTCGATGTCTCCTAAAATACCCATCGCCGGGCCCTCGACCCATCGGAAAATGGCAATCCGAGGGGTCGATTTGAAATTCCGATGGGTATAGCTCGTGTCTCAAAATTGTACCATCATAGATGTTTCAAAGCTTCGATCTCGTGCTTCTGCTAACTATCAATGTACCTACCATCAGGCTCTGGACCCGTCGGAATTTCAAATCGATCCCTCGGATTGCCATTTTCCGATGGGTCGAGGGCTCGACGCACCCCTCGCATGTCTTTTTCGGCTTGCTTGGGTACATTGAATAAAGGTTACTTGCGATGAAATATGTTTAAAATGTTATAAAACAATCTTAGTCAAGAAAAATATTGCATATATAATTAATAAGTGAATGTAAGATTAATGACTATACGCATGAAAATTTTTAATCAGAGAGTATAAAGTAGGATCGTCTATTTGAAAGTATTGAGTTACCAACAAACTTTACGTGAGAACAAATACAAATATATTCTACAGACAGTTTCTAATTCAAGGATTTTTTTCTATTATTTCGTCATTATTCTCTAATAAAAGCATATGAACTTGTAAATTCGATTAAGGTAAAAAAAAAGAAACGAAAGAAAAATTAATATAAATGTCTTACAAAATTTTTGAAAACGTAATATACAATAAGATACGAAGAAAAATGTGTCAATTTCATTTTTCTGCTACTCATCTGTATACATATACTGCTACTGAAAGACGATGAAAAATCTTAACGACGTATTACATGAAACTTAGTGATTTTTATCGCATATTTTTTTTTCTTCAAAAATATTTTCATTCTTCAAAAACTAAATATAAGAAAACTAATTTGACTTTATCGTAATGTTGTGAGTGATGGGTTTTTTTGTGTTCAAACAAAAATTTCATACTAAAATATATCTGTATATACAAGATATCGCTTTTCAATAAATTTTTTTGCAATGTTAGAGCTCGAGATACGTTATCAAATAGGACCGTTCATATTTTAACTACATTCCATCGTAAGTAGAAACAAAGAAGAAATTTATTGAATATGAAATCTATTTCGGAATGCAATTATGTTTGCTAGGTTTTGATCTTTTGTGAAAAAAATTGAATGATTCATCAACAGCACAGTGTTATGATTTGAAATTTTTAGGTCATATTTTTAGACATTCACAACTTAAGTATACATATACATTATTTTGAATTATTGCTAAATCGCAATATTAATAAAAGTATCCATACAAAAACGCTTTCGCATATATCTTCGAGTAAAGTGTTTACCATACTAATTTCGTCAATTCATCATTTGTATTTGTTTTTGTTTTTGTTAAGATTAATTATATGTTGCAGATAGAAGGTCTCAATAGCTGTAGAAGTATATCTAAATTATCGATAGATTTTGTTTTTATAATGAGAAACAAAATACAGCATAATAAAGAAGGATAAAGTAGTGATTAGCATCAAAAGTTAAATAGCTATATAAAACCAAAAAAAAATCCTTACAAAAATCGTCTTGAGATTGAATTTTTTTCCCATAGAGGGGGTATCTCAGTAAGTCTATGATTACACTAAATTTTATTTCAAAAGTAATTGTTAGTGAAAGATTTTCTTGCCTTCTAGTGAGAGTATACCGTTTCAACATAGATTTCATGTTTTATGAACTTGTTGTTTGTCTTCGGTTATGACGGAATATTTTTAAAATAATTTCTTAAGTTCTATCTATTATAAAAACACTTAAACCAAAATAAGAAGAAATTCTAGAGCAGAAAAAATAATATTGCAAAAAAAAGAGAAAAGTATTTCTTTTGGATCTTCCTGTAGTTATGCTTAAGTAAGAATGATGTTCGTCACTGATATATAGCATTTAATCACTTAAAATATTTTTTAATCTCAAATATGTATTTAGTGATGAGTCGTGATCTTGATTCAGCATTAACAAAACGAGAACGTGAAGCTGTTGATGTATGGCTTGCTTCGAATAAATCATTTCATGCTATGCGTGATCATCCTATGCATAGCGTACCTATGCTTGGTGGTATGTGGGGTTTTCGACCATCATTGAATCGAAACTTATCCCGTTTAATACACGATAAAATTCATAATCAAGATTTAATTAGAAATTATACTGGTCGTGCTGATCAAGGATTTCTTGCTGCTCATATTTGGCCATTTGCAAAAGCAAGTGCTATTGCACATGATAGCTTTTCTTGTGCACATGGATTTGGACATCCAGCACAGCCATTTCCAACACAACGACCATTAGCTAATGAAACAAATTGTTTTGTAGGTTGTGTGCGACCATGTTGTGGTCATGGAAGAATGCCATTTGGCCAATGTCCAATACAATGTCGACCAAACGAACATCCAGAATGGATTTATTGTTAGGTTTTTTCTAAGTTTATTTATTTTTTTTATTCTTATACATAAGAAATATTTACATGGCTTTCACGAAAGAATATGTTTATCCGTTGAATCGGTTTTGACTTGAAACTATTGTTATTTGATTGTGCATGATCAGTACTGAAACGTCTATTTTATTTTAAGCATAGAATCGTTACGCACTTGTACGATCAAATTTTGAGCTGAAATCTTATTTACAAATAGGCCTTACAATCATTAGAAACATCCCAAACTTTTAACTAGAACGAGCTTATTCTTGATAAGGTATTGAAATTGTAAAGAAACGTTTGTTTTGGACTGTATTTTAAAAGAAGAACATTTCTATAATAAGCTAATGTCTCTAAACAGATATCTTTATCCTATCTCAAACATTGGAGTATTTCTAATAACTGTGAGACATATGTATGGACAAAATTTCAGTTCGGAATTCGTTCACCTAAATTCGCAAGGATTCTATGTTTATGTCGCTAAACTTGAGTAAAACGTCTATAGCTCAACAAGAAAAAAAAATGGAAATCCAAACCCAACCAGACTTTTCACTATTGATCATGACTGATCAAGTGGCACTAGTCTCAAGCAAAAATCAGTAGAATAGTTGAGCACATTTTCGCCTTACTTGTTTTTCTCAGTGCGCCTTTTGATAAAGTATAGTGTCCATTTTATACATATTACTTATCATGTTTTAAAAATGCAGTACAACATTTCCATGTACATCAACAGCATATACAACGTTTGCTCTTATTACTTACGAGGGAACATTCCCAAGTGATACGCTTCGTTTTGATTCATTCATATCTCATTCGATAGAGTATGTTGAAATAAGAAAAAGCCTAAAACGATTCGTGCTCTTCCTCTACTGGTGAAGAGTTGTGGCTGTTTTACTGAAATTTTTACTGTGAGCCAGGCATTTTGGAAAAACCCAAAACGAAGAGTTTCGAGCTGAAACTTTACCTATAGATAGTTTTTATTGTCATTAGATAGTCCTGAAAGTTTCAACGAAAATGAACATGCCTTTCTTGAGCTATTCAATTTTCAAAAAAACAGCTGTTTACCATAGGAGGGAACAAAAATCCACTTTAGTTGGACATTGAATATCTCGAGAAAGACACGTTCGTTTTCGTTAAAACTTTTAGGACTATCTAATGACCATAAAATCTATCTATAGGTAAAGTTTCAGCTCCAGACTCTTCATTTTGGGTTTTTCCGAAATGCCTGGCTCACAGTAAAAATTTCAGTAAAACGGCCATAACTCGTCACCAATCGAGCAAGAGCACGAATCGTTTTAAGCTTTTTCTTATTTCAACATACTCTATCGAATGAGGTATCAATGAATCAAAATGGAGCGTATCACTTGGGAATGTTTCCTCGTTAGTGTATATTCTATGAACAAAATAACAGTAAGTAAAATCATAAGTAACAGATAAATGTTATATGGAAAAAATGCTCGATTAAATCACATTGAATTAAACCTTATCAGACACACAGAATCTATATCTATCATAAGTTTCTTTTAAGGAATCGAGCAAAACCTAATTTTTATCTTCTAAATCGGTGTTAGTCGAGATGACATCAAAGGTTATATAAGTTTGTCTATAACATCACCAGAACAACATTAGAATAGATCAAATGCTTTCAAAAAATATGAGACAATACATATTATACAATATACAATTGATAGATATCAGCTTGTACGCGTAACGCGTCACCTCAATGACCAAGAGTTCGAAATCAATATCTTACGAAATCATTATTGCCATGTTACAGAGCATGGTCTAAAGTGTAGAGAAACTTATTTCGTTCCGTGAATAAATGCTTTAAATTGCATTTGATAATTGGTAACAAAGAGCCCACTAATAGACAGAAAAAGTTCCTCTATTTAGAGCATGAGTTCACCCATCTCGTATATCGAAACAGTCTGGTATATACAAAGTTGATTAAGACTAATTAAGACTATGATAATAGATGTATCTTTCCTCATAACAGTGGGCTTCCTATGTGCTATACTTTTTTGCAGCAAGCTTCAGTAAAACCACCCTATTTATAACGTCATCGCGTAACGAAAAATGAGTATTGTTTTTTCAACTGTTATTCTCAACTTCTTTTTTTACAAAAAATATAAATCTAAAGCTAGTTTTTCATGAGCTATCTGATGCGCATATTTTTATTCCAAAAAGATTGTGTTTTACAATAATGTTACGTAACGCGATGACGCTTTTTACTGTTTTCTACGTTTTTCATGTATGTCAAAGGACGTTTTCAGACGGTGATTTATTATTCAAAAATCACCGTAAGCTATGACTAATGTATCTTTTTATTGATTACTAACAAATTTCCATAAGAATATAGGCGATTGGTCTAACAAGTTGATTGCGTTCAATTAAAATTATATTACCAATCTAAATCCTCTATCGTTTCTATGATATATACGTAAGATCGCAAAAACTCAAAATTTCAGTTAACATTTTTTCTCGATGATTTATATATGGTTAGATAGAGCTCAAAAAACTATGTAAGAAAATGTACTTTTAAATTTTTTCCATCTCTTAAATACATTAAAAAAGTCAAAATACTGAGATCATTGTGTTACTGAGTCCATTCCGTATAGAATCATCTCAGTATTTTGACTTTTTTAATGTATTTCAGAGATGGAAAAATTTAAAAGTACATTTTCTTACATAGTTTTTTGAGCTCTATCTAACCATATATAAATCATCGAGAAAAAATGTTAACTGAAATTTTGAGTTTTTTCGACCTTACACAGACATTCCTATACATACTAGTCAGACTAGTTTATTTTTTTTACGATTTTTTTTTATATCAGAAAAATCAATAAACACAACATTTAATATTTGTATACTCTAAGCGGTAGAATAAAAATAATATCTTGTCTTCACAGAGGTGTACATATAACAAAATGAAGCATAGAAAAAAAATGATTACAAAAGTCATCGTCATCGCGTTACGAGGCCATCATCGCGTTACGAGGCCGTCATTGCATTACGAGGCCGTCATCACGTTACGAGGCCGTCATCGCGGTACGTTAATCAAATCAATTTCTATTTAAAATAAGAAGCGTGTTCGAAAAATTTCTTTCTCCTTTGGACACCTCAAACTGTTGACTACAAAATGTCCATAGAACGTTTCTTTCAATATAGCATATATTCGCAGAGAAATAAAGAACAATCAAGTCACCCTCAAGGTTTTGTCCTTTTTTTATCATCGCGTTACGCCATGTATTTTTACTATAATTTTCAAACGGCTGGTTCAAACAAGCTCATATTTTTAGGGATTTTGCAGAAGGCAGAGATACATCTTACAACGAAAGAACAAACCTTTTGGCAATCTGATTGCTGAGAAAAGTTAATAAAACTGTGGCCAAAACGTCATCGCGTTACGCTCGTACAAGCTGATATACTATTGCACATATTGTACTTCTGTCTAAAGTAGTATCCTTCTTTTGTTTGCGCACAATTATAGAATTGTTCTAATGCTTCAGTTTGTTATTTTTTTATGGCATTTAGATCGGTCAGAACTTGTGCAATTGTTTCTATGTATTTGTTGCGATATGTCACGATAAAAAGCAGTCTAATAGTAGAAAATCCGGTGATCACGAGGTTTATGATTTCTGACGCATTTCTATGAGTTTTTTTCTTACGGCTATATCTGATTGGATAATCACCTTGATCAGTTATTTATGATGTCGTTGCGAAAATCTGTTTCTTTTTTAAACTTCAAATAATATCAAACAAAATTTTTTTTTTGATTATGTTTTTCGTCAAAAGAAAAAACAATCTTTGATAACAATAAATTCACCTGTAGACATGAACATAATTCGATAAAACTGGTTTAAACCAAATGGATTAACATTCTAATTAACCAAAGTTTATAAAATATTTTCTGTAATCAATTAGAATCAAAGTATAAAATTTTGATTTCTCTACGTAACAATTAATTCATTTTATTGGAAAACTTTTGAGAATACTTTCTGTTTATCTGGAGATTCATTTCAATACGAATAAAGTCCTATTTCGTATATGAAATAAATCTTTTAATCTTACAAAATCGATATTTCTACATTAATAAATCTAACTTCAGTGTACAAATATTTCTCTAGTCATGATTTGATTAATAGTCATAGTAAAAGAAAAAAAAGTAAACAAGTAAAGAAAACCTCGTAAAATGAAAGAACCAAACGGATAAAAACACTTACTATTTTAAATATTTTTCAAGAGTTTTGCTCCAAGCGACGTTTCAAGTTAAAACAACAATAAGACAATCAAACATAAGAACATCATTAACCAGACGCATATACAAATTGATTGTATAGTTGTATAATGAAAATATCTTCATTGATACCAAGGCATGGTCGTTTTATTTCTTCAGTATGTGCTGGTTTTTTGAAAAGTTTTATTTTTTACAAAACGTTACGCTTTTCTTGTTACATTCCAGTTATTACTAAAACTGTAAATATCGATGATCGTCGACGACCAGAATGTACGTGTTTAAGACCTGAATTACCACATTTGCCTTCTCATTTGATAACAAATGAATAACATACAGCCTTTTATAGTCGTTATAGTTCACAACGAGGATCTTATCAACATATTATTTCAATTAGTCTGTTTGGACCAAAAGAAGCTAAAAAGTTTTAAATCCATCGAACACTATGTGATCTTAAACTTCTTATTACTGATGTTGATATAATGTATTCTGATCGATTTATATTACGTATTTATCATGATAATACAATAAATGCAACAGATACTATTTGTTCAATTAAATGTGAGCATTCAAATGTTGATTTTTGTAATATGGAACATAAAATATTTATACCACCAAAAATCTGGCGTTTTATAGCAGCTGATGATCCATTAGTTGATATTAGTAAGTATAACATAATCAAAAAAATTTTTCAATTTATAAATACACGAAATTGTTTATTCATTTAGTATTAAGTCGTGATCTTGATTCAGCGTTAACAAAACGAGAGCATGAAGTTGTTGATACATGGCTCGCTAGGAATAAATCATTTCATGCTATACGTGAACACCCTAAACGTAATTTTCGTATGATCGGTGGTATGTGAGGTTTTCGGCCATCATTAAATAGAAGTTAATCTCGTTTCATACTCGATAAAATTTATAATCAAGATTTAATTACACATTGTACTGGTCGTGCTTATCAAATCTTTCTTACTTCTCATAGTTGGGCATTTACAACATCAAGGCTGCTTGTTCATGATAGTTTCTTTTGTATGAATGATTTTTGACATCAATCAGAACTATTTCCAATGCAACGACCATAAGCTAATGGAACGTATTGTTTTGTGGGTTGTGTACGAACATGCCATGGTCGTAGAAAACTATCATTTAGCGAATGTTCTGAAGAATGTCGACCGAAAAATCATCCAGAATGGATGTATTGTTAAGTTTTTTGTATACACAAAAAGATAAATTTTTAGAATAATAAATTTTGATAATTTTGACATTTAAATATCTGCATCCATCTATTGTAACCTTAAAGATGTCGCATTTAATATTTAATATAGAAACTAAATGTTGTCAAGGAAAGTTTAATATTAATGGTTATTCGACATGTAATCTCAACATAATTATCAAATATTTCAGATAATTAGCTAAAAGTATTAGCCCGTAAAATAATGACAACACGTACTGGTTCTAAACAAGGACGCCAAGCAGCTAAATCAAATTTAAAAGCACTTGGAAAAGATCAAGGAAAAAGTGAAAAACAACCAACAAATGTATTAGAAATCGTTCCAGGAAAATTTAATGAAACCGATTGGTTATCATTATTAGAAAATGATGATACTGAAGATTTTATTGCTGATATATTTGAAAACATATGGACAGAAACGTCGAAACAAATTCAACAAATATATATTCGAAAACAACTATTACCATTTACATTAATGATGACAGAAAATGCTTTATCTAATGTTATTCAGGTTAAAAGAAAAAAAATATTTTCAAAAAGAATTTTTTTTCTTATTGGTTTCTTCCTTTCATCTTTATTTAGTGGGCATTTCTAGAAAGAGATGAACCGATACCGGCTTCTGGTAACTTTTGGACAGAAGATTCAGGTACATGAAAAACAAGGGATCAGTTTTTAAAATATTTTGTTAGTTTTTCTAGAACCTATACCATGTACAATGGATAGTTGGGGTGAAGGTGTTGTACCTGCATGTCGAGAAGAACGTCCTCAAAGGTTTATATTATTTCTTTACTCAATTTTCTTATTTGTATCAATAACTTTTCTATTGTTCAGTGTTGAAGAATCACCTGTATCAATTGATGAACGTCCATCAACAGCTCCTCTCAATATTCCAACATCTGAAAATATTAACCGAATTTCACGTCCTTCGACAGGATCATCAATAACTAGTACAATGCATACAACTCGTTCGAATACTCAAGGAAAAAGACTTGCAAAACTCGATAAATCTAATGATATTCATCAGCAAATTAAACGGCAACAATTACTTGAAACTACAAGTGACAATCGTACATCAAGTGAAAAAGAATTTTTAAATGAACAAAATATTAGTCGAACATCTTTTTCACAAAAACCTTATTATCATGATGTACTTGTTATTCATACACAACCACCAAAAGTAAACAATTATAAGAATTCGAAAAAGCTTCATATTGTCTAATTGTTTTTTTTTATTGTTTGAAAGCTTGAACCATTATCTGATCTATTCTATCCATCACAACGGGATACCAATAGTTCATATTTTGATTCTAGTCCAGCAGTAGTAACTAAAAAACCTCGACATATAATTGCACCAAAAGCATCGTCTCAACTTGGTTCTGATGCATTAGCATCAATAACAAATGTAAGTGCTACAACAACTACAAAAAGTTTTAAAAAACCAACTGAATCAAAAGTATTTGATGACCAAGAAGTTGAAGGAGCTATTTCAAAAGCTCCTATGGCGACACATTCAATGCTTAAAGTATAATATTAAATATAGAATATGTTCACTAGTCTATTTTTTATAATATAGAGTATTCTCAGTCGACCACCTGGATATCGAGAACTTGAACTTGATGATGATGGTAATGTTATTGCGATTGCTAAACTTGATCCAGATAAAATTGCATCGAGAAGGTTTGATGAATTGAAATGATATGATTTTATTATTTTTTATATAATTAAATAGTATTCGTGTTAAATGCGATATAATTAAATCACGGAAATCTACAATTGAAACTCGTCCACCACCAGCTAAACAATCAAAACAAATAAAATCTAATCGACCTGAGAAAAAATTTACATCGGTTAAACTTGGTTTGTGTATTTTATTTTTTGATTGATTGTATTAAATCAATAGTTTGATTCGTTGTTTTTTGTTGTATGTAGTACTTCCAGAACAATCAACTGATGTTGGTGATCTTATTCAACCAGTTCCTGGTGTTCTTTATGAAGATGCTCGAATGAAAAAAGGTGATCCTCGAAGATATCAAGTAAATTCTTCATGATTCTTGTCAGTTATTTTTATCTTGTTGATGTATTTATTTTTTAATAGACTGGCATGTCAAAATATACGAATTTCTATGATGAAAGCCGTCCATTGAGACCTATTGTTCAACGAGGCGATTTAACTATACTAAAAGTAGCAAATGATTTATTAAATCAATCAAAAGATGATGATAATGATGATGAGCTACAAATTCCACAATTCCACAGACTTGCTCGAATACCACCTATTATGTCTGGATCAAGTACAACATCAGCATAATAACCTTTTTTTCTTAGCCTTATTAAAACCGAAACTTTCTAATCAATTTTGTTTCAATTAAATAAATCAGGCTCCATTTTATTATTTTCTACAAACGATGAAAAGAATGGCGAAAATCTTTTTTTCCACTGTATTGCTCATTTGTACAATATTTCCAAATTTTCCAGTTGGTGGTAACAAATAGAACATAAACGTCATTACAACAAAAAATGATTAGTATCATTTCCTTCACAGCATGTATATGTTAGCTCTTTCTTTCTTTCTTTCTTGTTACTTTCTATTCTTCAGAATTACTTCTTCGAGTAGAAGGATGATGATGACGATAGTTGTCTTGTGTGTGTGTGCGTCAGTCACTTGAAACGCAAATGGCAACATTCTCCTACTCTTTCTTGACGTTATTGTAAGATGCGGAAATGTCTCCTTCAAAAATCACCCCTTCCATCCATCTATCCATTCCTCCCTCTTTATATCCATCCTTTTTTCGTATCTATTCTTTAGGTCGCCATATCCGAGCGGCTGCTACTGCTGCTCATGGGTGATGTCAATCATCGTTGTGCAAACAACACGAAGAAACACGTACACACTACAACGAGAGAGAGAGGACGAGAAAAAAAAGGAGGGCTGCTGTTGCTGTTGTTGTCTTTTTCAATATATCGTTGGTGCGACATACACTCGCATAAATCGAGCCATGCATGTACATCTCACACTTTTTTGTCGTTTTCTCTCTCTTATGCCGTTATATACGCGTTATCTCTACTAGTTGGTATCCATCGTCAACGGGTGATGACGAGAGAAGAGCAAGGCAACGATGTTTATAGATGCATGCTCGGGCAAACCTTGAATGATGAAAGGAGTTAGAAGAGTAATCTAATCAACTATAGTAAAAGAAAGAAAAGAAGATTACAGAAATGGATGGGACAGAGATGGCATTTTTATATCTAAAAGAAAAAGTTAACCAAATCAACACAATCGATATATAATATACATATTTGACTCAGTAATACTTCAAATATGGGAAAACTATTATTTGATTTTGTTTTTTTGTTTCTATGCTATTTGATAATCTTTCATGTTCATGATAAAATTTTCAGTGGATGTATTGCAATGCAAATACCTCTGTTCATCATAAGTCATATTGATATGATAGTGCAACTAGATATATATTTATATATATATATATGTATATACATTGATATAACTTAAAATTGTCTGCATAAATGAGATGAGAAGAGTCATGCGGTTTCTTTCACACCCACCCACTCATTCATCCATTTTATTTGGTAACAGGAGGAAAATTCTGGTTGATGATTCGGCCATCACTCATTACTCCATTATGTATTATACGCGCTGCGTTGGTCGTCAGTTCCTGTTTATAATGATAAGAACGAACGGTGATCTAGGTCGTCGTCATCATCATCATCATCATCGTTACAGCTACTGCTGAGAAGAAGGAAAATCCATTTTCTTCTTTTTTCTTCTCTCTTTCTTTTCATCTTCTTTTTCTTCTTTTAATACTCAAAGAACGGTCGTCGGTTTATCAAAAAAAAATGTTGATCGACTCGAATGTTTGTCATCTCATTTCAGAGAGAGCATGGCTTACACATATATCCATGCAGTTTGCGAAAGAAACAATCATGCAAGGGGCGCACATAAATATACATCAAGGATCGCCTATATACGCTAGTGACGAAAATCAGCGCAGTGATGTAATGGCGTGCGCATGGAAGAGAATTGTGTGAGAGACACAAACAGAAAAGAAGGGAAACAGAAAGAGAGATATGGGAATTGTACAAACGACAGCTAGTACTACCAAAAAAAGGCGCAAGATTATGCAAGTCACTCGGAGAGAACGAGAGAGAGAGAGGGAGAGAGATAGAAAGAGATCAGAAAATATCTTGTTGTTGTACTCATCACTACGCTAAAGATCGAGCGCGTTTACGCACATATAGTCGTCGCTTTTGCTTGATATTCGATACGGAAAATGTATCATCCTGGAGCGTTTCTATTCTACTAACATTATCAACAGTAGAGTGTCAGCATGAATATAACAACGACTACCATCATTATCACGTATGAATGAGAAAAAGATCGATATACAAAAAGAAACAAACAAACAAATACAAAAGGTCGTTCTACTTTGTTTTATAAATTGAACTAATCAAGCCTCTTTAAATATGTATATATTTAATACAAAGACAAGTCGATGTTCTTTATGTTATGCACTTTTATCTACAAGTACAAATACAACAAGTTCTACAATTGGTTATTCAACATCAAATAGACGATATGCTAGTCGTTGTTCGATATCTTCAATTGATCGATTAATTTCATCTTCAATTAAATTTCAACGTTTATGGCGTAAAAATGAGAATGGTATTATTAATAATCGTTCAATTTGTTTTCGATGTTGTGATACAATACGACAAATTGAACAAATTCAAAATGATATTGAACAACTTAATAATGATAAACAAATACTTATGAATAAAATAAAACATAATCTATCTAAACGTGCACATATTTTACAAGGCCAACAACAACGAACAAATATTTTTCTTATTAATCATCAAGTATTTATAATTGATAAATTTTCTTGTTTATACATATAAAAGAATTTTTCTTTAGCCAAGTCCTTTATATGAAGATGATGATACAGAAGAAGGTGAAGAGAAACCTCGAACAGTAATAGCAACTAATGGACATGAACATTCATCACTTTTAACAACACCGACAACGACATTAGTTGGTGCTAAACGACGTAAATGTAATATAGCACATAAAATAAATCTTGAAAATAAAGTAAAATTTAATCAAATTCTTTTTTTTTAGTTTTTATTAAAAATTCTTTCTTTTTAGCCTATCGAATCATCATTTTCATCGTTCAATCATTCAAAACAATCGAGTAATTATTTTCATTTTCATTTTCGTTTCTTTTCTTTTGACTCTCAATGAATTTTCTTTTTCTTTTGATTTGTTCTCAGGTTCTCCAATAGCTCAACAAACAACTAAATTTTCTTCTCCTAATCTTATCTCAGACTCACATTCATCAAAACATCATCGATCAAGTTTATTTTCATCTGGTATTAATGGTCATGATTTAGCAAATTTATCATTTGGCTCTCCATATAAACCTCTAACTTTAACAAATACATCATCAGCAACAACACCACCATATCTTGATCCAACAACAGGAGCATTAATTGCCATTGTTTCAAATCCACATCATGCTGCATTACTTGCTCAACAGCATCAACAAATTCTTAAATCATCATCAATATCTCCATCATCAACAGATACAATTGATGAACATGAAATAATTCCTATTAAACAAAATCAACATCCTAAAAAGTTTCCATGTCTTTTATGTGGACGTGATTTCTCAAATAAGTCAAATTTAAATCGTCATCATAGTATTGTTCATGTTGCTATAAGAAATTTTGAATGTGTACGTTGTCCAAAAAAATTTAAATTACGACAAGGTCTTAAAACACATATGCAACGATGTCATGGTGTTAATACAGACGAACCAACATTTGTTTTACAAAAACATCGTTTACATAATCATAATCACAATCATCATCCCTCTTCATCATCATCATTTATTGCTCAAACGAATAAATAGACAATAGGTGCTACTGTTTTTCTTTTTATTGTGTTCGTTGAGTTGTTTTTTTTTCTTTTTTATCTTTTCTTTTTTTTATGTCTTCTTATTTGTTATTTATTCAACAGAAATAAATTTACTCTAATTTTATCTTACAAGTCATATATCTCATCAGCACGTACGATTATTTATTACGTGCTAACTGAATAGAAACAAGAGAAAATTTTGCCAAATACATATATTCTCAAAGAGCAAAAGATGACGTTTTTTGGACTGTAAGGAAATAAGACAATATACAGAAAACAAAGAAAAACCAGATGTTAATTATAAAACAAAAATGCCAAGTCAATTATAAGCTTTTTTATTTACTTCGAATAGTTTTTTTTGTTGACTGTAATCTTCCCGTTTTTTTTTGTCAACACAATTATATAATTAAAAATTTCTGGTCTTATTTTATACGATACTGTATGTATAAAGTTTAATATATGTTCGATAATGATAATTTATCTATTATGCTATTTATTATATTATCTTTTAGAAAAGGTCACAAAATAGACGAAGTGATGATAACATACAATGAAGCTTATAAATAGAAAGCAAAGAAAATTCAAGAAATAATATTGTTGTACAAAAAGAATGTTATTAATGATGAACTATGCTCGAGATATTTCAAGTTTTCTCAAACAGATAAGAATTTCTAATAATGCGTTTAAGCGATCTAATCACAGTTCCTGTTTGAGTGTTTTCATGTCCATGCGAAATACACCATATCTTTGACATCTCGTAGAAAAAAGTTATTTTTATATGCAAAACACGTCAAAATATTGCGAAAAATAAGTTGTTGGATGTTTTACAGATTCAAAAGTTGCCTTTCTTTAACTATCTTCAAACTCCTTTAATGATGAAAGTGGTGGGTTTTGATGTTTTCTGAATGGATATGGAAAAGCTCAAACAAGAATTGCGATTAAAATGTTCAAACACGCTTTTAGAAATTCTTACCTGCTTCAATTTTATTACAATATCTTTATTTGAATCGATTTTCTTTTGTGAATAATGAAAGAACTTGAATATTCATGTGATTATTATCAATTACAAAATAATATTTATTTGTACGAGAATAATAGAAAAAGATAAATGCATATAGTTCGAGATATACTATTCAATTGTTAGAACATTAAATGAGTTGTGTTCTCCAATAGTTATGAAGAAATTTTATTTTCCAAAATAAGTTCATATGATTTTATTGCTCTGTTTATTTGCATATGAAATGATAAAACCTATAATCGAACATTTACATTTTCATGCAATAAAATTAACTGTTCATTGATAATAATGTTGTTCAAAGAAGAGTTTATTCGATATAGAATACAACCTAAGATTAGAGCTATTTATTTAGAATGTGTAAAAAAATAGAGAGTTAGTTGGATTGAAAAGGACGAGGGACGGTTTGTACACAAAATAGCCCTAAATAAAAATCACTTCAAAACATGTTCTAAAATTGCATTTCATATTGCTCTGTGCAAGAATAAAGGATTCTGAACTCTTTCAGACTATCTTTTAAAGCACTTTCTCGATACCTATAGCCGTGACAATAGTATTATCGATTTCACAATGCCATTCACAGGTTCACGGCGGATATTCTGTGTATGATTATCATACTTTCAGGAGAAATAGAGCTTTTCGAGAGCTGCAAAGTGATCATAAATGATAAAGGAAAATATACTGTGCTCGAAGTTTTCTGAATACCACACCATCAAAAGTTCATGGGAAAACCAATGGTTGGCATAGTGTGGTCCATATGATCTCGAGTATCCATTATAGAACCGGCGTGATTTCGTCACGGAAGGATAGCGTAAGAAGAGCTTGAAAATGTTCTGAGTCGAACTGGTAAGTAGGTTTTCCTTGAAGGGTTCAAAAGTTTGGAGTGAATCGCGTAATCTTGCTTTGAGATCGTGGATTGTGTCGAAAAGATTATTGTAAGTATATGGAAGATGTATGTAGGTTCAAAAAATGGTGTGTCCCGTGAGAAAGAAGGCATTGTGAAGGTGTGAAGTGGCACATTGTAATGTGGCTATAAGGTTTCGTCGGTATCTAGCATTAGTTATGATCATTTCTCCGAAAAGTTAAAAGGAGAGGTGAAAGTCGTAAAACAAAGATATATTTAGTGTTGTCAGTTAAACTCAGTGGAAGAGTCCATATTTCAGCGGGAAGGCATAGAAGAAGAGGATATCTGAGAGAGTGTGTGACATATATGAGACGAGGAGACTTCAGAGAAAGAGAGAGAGGGATGAAATGAAGAAATTGCAGAAGGAGAGATTTAGAGATGGATATTAGATAGAGAGAGATAGATTCATAGAGAGGATATTGCATAGTGAGAGAGGTTCGTAGAGAGGATATTGGATAGAGAGATGTTCATATGGAGGATATTGGATAGAGAGAGGTTTATATGGAGGATATTGAATAGAGAGAGGTTCATATGGAGGATATTGGATAGAGAGAGGTTCATATGAAGGATATTGGATAGAGAGAGACATATCGGAGACAGCATATTTCACAGAGAGGTATTTGAATAGGAGATATTGCGAAGGGAGAGAGCTTGGTAATGAGGATATTTCACAGGGGAGATATTTGGAGAGAGGATGTTTCGCACGGAGAAAGATTTGAAGAGTTTGTTTTAGAGATAGATGGGAGTGAAAAGAGAGAATATTATATGTGTGCGCGACGTCGATTATTCTTTCATTCCATACAAAATAACTTCAAAGAAGTTTTGTGTCTGCGCCTGTTGTGGTGATCGCCTGAATGCCAGCAGTCAACGCCCTCTGAACAGCAAATGTATTCGACTTTTTGTTGCCACTCACGTCTTTCCAACTTCTCTGTCGATTGATGGCTATATGTGTAATAAGTATCGTGCAATGTATAATAAGTAGACATCTCTACCAGAATTTCGCGATTTTCTATCAACGATCGACAATAACGAGCAAACAACAGCAATAGCTACTGGCAACATCAGCGACGCAGATGAAGAGGCTGCAGAGTGTATGGATGATGAAAATGACGCTGATCGGCTAACTGATGACACATCAAGTGAGGTCGATTCAATGGATGACGGCTTTGCTGGTGTTCAAACGGTGAGTGCATCGTCCAGCGATGGTGTATCAGTCGATGATTCAGTCGTCAGCAGTGATCAAGTAGAGGACGAGCAAATGAATTCTGATGAAAATAGTGACGTAGTAAGTTCAGCTCGATATATGGTATCTTTATTTGGTCTTACTTTTCAGATGAATTCAATTCCTTCAGATGAAAATACAGATGAACAAAGTATCGAGGTTCCAATCGAAGTTGCTGTCTTTTCTAGAAAGTAAATGTTTGGAATACAAACAATTGATTCCTTTTTGTCTTATAGTCAATGTTGCTTTTGTAAGGAACAAATTGTGCCTCCAGTGGTGACTATTCATGAAGAAGATCGCACCGAAATGTTCATCCGACGTCACATCGAAATATCTGTAGGATTCCGATGCTGCACGATACATACTGCCGATAAACGTCTATTACTTGAAGCGTTCCTGTCTCTGGTGCGACACAAATTGGAAAATCGAGTTTTCTCTCGACAAACTCTTATAAACCTCCTTTAATCGTATCGTACACGACTGAATAATAACAAGCACCTTGATTTCGACGAATCTATGTGCTTGACAGATGCTGATTATATCAAACTTACTAGATTTACTCGAGCTCAGCGTACTCATATCTTGTCACACATACCTTCAACTGCTCTGAAGAATTCAAGGACAAGGTCAACTTGATCTGCTCTAGGGCATCTTCTGATGAAATTGAAACTCGGCTTGAACAATTCGATTTTGGTATCAATGGTCGATGTAGGTAGCAAACGTCAAATGAGCCGTATTATTTCCAGTGCTTGAGTGGCACTGACTCAACATTTCATGCCTTGCTATTTGGGTTTAGCTCATCTGAGACGACAAGATGTCATGGACAAACATGCGTCGCCAATCGCTAGTCTTTTACTGACTCAAGGCCGAGACCCATGAATACTTGTACTCGATGGAACATATCTATATATTCAAGTAAGATACACAGCACACTTTTTTAAACTAATACTCTTTTTGAGAAAAGAGAAGAGCCGAAATAATGCGGTTCACCGCAAGACATTCAATTTGCAGAAGAAACGGTCGTTGATCAAGCCGATGGTCATGGTAACAACAACTGGGTATATCATCAGAATTTTTGGACCATTCTTCTCTAACTTTCATAACAATGACGCTTCTATTCTGAAACCTGTTATGCTCAACAACTACCAGGTCATCCTCAATTGGACCAAAGAAAATGGCATCATGATCCTAGATAGAGGCTTTCGTGATTCTCTTGGTGTACTGAAAGTTCTCGGCATCGACACAGTCATGCCTTCGTTTCTAGGTAAAAGTCGACAACAATTCGACGTTTACGATGCCAATCGATCTCATTTTGTTACGAAGCTACGCTGGGTGGCTGAATGTGTTAATGTGTGACTCAAGAGATTCAGATGGTTCAGCCAAACGATTCAAAATTCATCGTTACCGTTCGTTTCTGACTATATTGCCATCGTGGCTGCACTTACCAACTGCTTTCACGTGTTCATGGTAACAACTTCACCAGATGATGATGATATAATTCGATGAATGAATCTGCTGCTAACACAAAGTAATGTCTTGCAACAACGACTGATCCAACATGATCTGCAGCGACATACTATTTGGCAATTAATCGATATCAACAATTTACCTGAATCTTGCCCTGTCTTATCTCTGGATGATATCAGATCTTTAACTCTAGGTATCAGACTTTTCTATCAAAAACTCATTAGCTACTTACTATTTTTTAGGTGTGTACCAGCTGAAAAGCATACGAAGTTATGCCGAAGAACACAGTGACTCCATCAAACTTACCGATTCAGATGTGAATTTTCCAATAGAAGCATGCTCTGAACAAGATGTTGAAGATATTATTCGTCTCAGATTCCGGTCGGCACATAAATTCTGTGGCTATTATACGTACATTCAATTCGATTCAACACAAGTCATCGCATGGTATTGTACTTGCGCAGCAGGATCTCGAAAAACGGGTTGCTGCTCTCATATTGCTGCAGCTATTTGGTTTCTAAGTTATGAACGCTATCAAACTACTACAAATCGACAATCATCCTTGACTAATATCAAAATGATCCAGTACGCAGACGATATTTCTGATTTTGAGCCGTCATCGGATGATGAAGAAAATAACTATCTTTATACATCAAACTGATATATGTATATATGTAAACATATATTTATGTGAACTTCTTCTTCAGAAATAAAAACATGAACAACCATTCTACTTGTTTCATAGAACTTCAAGACTGAGAAGTCCGTTCCTTAGCCAAGAACGTTCTTTACCCTTTTCTTCCTCTGCTATTCGCGCCTGCTGACCTAGAAGTGTAACTTATTATACATTCATTCATACATCTCTTTCAGTAAAAACGGCTGACAACTAATCCCGACATCGAAACGGAAATATCCTTCAAGTCGGTCTAACCAATGCACTACTGTGGACATCATTCACCAAATCTAGCTTAAACTGACCGGGTGGTCTAGTGGGCAGAGTGCTCATTCTTCTACTTCCAAGAGTCTTGGTATCGAATACAGGTCACGGATGATAATAAAAAGGATGTCCTATAAGGAGAATACATCCTATTTCGCGATGTTGAACATTCCAGAATCAGTTCCGCCCTTGAAACTAAGTTCAGATGGAATTACCCTGAATTCCCAGCAATTCCGGAATCGGACAGAATTCCCGGGAATTCTGTCCGATTCCGGAATTCCTAGAATTGCTTCCAATTCCGAAATTACTTCCCGCCCTCACCCTCACGCATAGTGTTGTGACTGAAGATTATTCTCTCGCAAAAGTAATTCCGGTACGGAATTCCAGGAATTGAGTCGAGCGGGAATCGTACGAAATTGGACGGAATTCCTGGGAATTCCGTTTTATTGCGCAATTCCGGAATTCCGTTCAATTCCGGAATTGCTGGGAATGGGCTTGAATTCCGTCTGGTTCCGGAATTGCTGGAAATTCGAGGTAATTCCGTCTGGACTAAGTTCCGAGAATTTCGGGAATTGACGGAACTCGGTCAGTGCCTAGTAGGTTTGTTATTTGGAATGACGATCGAGTTTCCGGAATTGAATGGAACTGGTTCCGGGTGCGGAACTGATTCTGAAATGTTCAACATTACGGAATAGGATGACTGCTCAGAATTTCAGTAACTAATCAAATTGTTATATTCTTCTTAAATTAAGCGGGATTCTCTGCTAAAACACTCGAAAATCGTGCCTATAAGAAAAGATTACGGATCTTTGATATGAAGATTCTGTTAAACATGATTTTTCCTGCTTTAGCGGGTTTCTTTGGCTGAGATACATGCTATTAAATAAATAAACTATATCAAACTTATTTTAATCATTGACTGAAATTAGATGATACAAATGTCAATTGGATTTCGTCAAAGCCTGAATTCTGAATTCAGCCATTGAAATATGCAATGAGAAGAAAAAACATACCATCGGCAACGCAACACACCTGATTAGATTGACTACCAACAAGTTTTTTCGCAATTTCTGTCGTATGCTGATTTATTATCTCGTTACGACTGATGTGACCAAAACCGATGTGTCTCGGGACGAACTGCTTGAGTAATTCTTTTCGAACTCCATGAAATGTATGCGACACTGCATCTTTATCAGGAAGATGAAACAAAGAAGATAGTATATTGTTACTCAATCGCAAACGAAGTTTGCAGAGGAAAAGAGCAAGAGCCACACGCTTGGATCGAAGAGAACTGTCGCACATTGACAAAAGATAAGAAGTAAGTAGAAAATCAAATTGACCTACGCATAATGAAATATTCAATAAGTTTCAGACATAACATTGAAGTAACTACCTTTCTTTATACCAGTTATATTATAATAATCCGTGTCAGTTAAGCAGTACGGATCGGTAAAATCGAAACACTTTGACATATTGAATACTGATCGAAACTTTTCAAACCAGTTTTGAATATCATCACTTGATAGTACCATTATATCGGATGTATAACCTACATAATCATAGTTAAATGATCGTGTAGTTGTAAACATAAAACTTTTCGTCTACTATTGATACTTTGGAAAGCTTTATATGTTAAACCTGTACGCTCAATCATGTGTTCGAAGCAGCAGCGTGCTTGATCTGGTACAAAATATCCCGTTTCATAAAGATCAGATCCGACAGAGAACTAGAAATTACTTTCATTGATTGTTCGTTCTTCAATCCACAAACAATACATTGCCTCTGGAAACTATGATGATATTTATTTCTTAAGAAAGCCCATTACTTACGATCAATAATCGTTCGAGGAATGAATAATGATATTCGGATTTCTCTTCCAACTGTCGAAGGATTTATCAATATTTTCTTCAACAGTAATATCATCAACTTGCATCTATCACAATTCAAAAGTTCTCTCATTCGTTATATGTCAATTATATTACTTTTTCATTTTCGGATGAGTCTTCGTTGAAAATATACTGCAATGATTATGTTAAACTCCTTCATTTATAATATTCATTTTGACATTCACTAGTGCAAAGAAACGATACAGTTTCCACCTTTTTCATTTTCTGAACAGCCACAAACAATTGCATCGATATATTCACTTTTCGTCGTTCATGCCTAGCATCGATTTTAGGCTCGCAACGAACACATTTTATATGTACCATTCCGCCTATTAAAGCGATATGAAGTATTATTAGCATAGAATAGTATATAATCGAATATATTTTTTACAATATATAAAAATATTATATACTCTACCAAAAATATCACGCCATACACTTAGATTCTTCCACTCGTTGATAAGAAAAACGATGCAGTACTTCTTTAAATATACATTACACATTTCACATATGCACGTTTTTGGCACAAAGGATAATACAAATTAAATGCCATTCTTATTCTTTTGTTCTGAAAAAGGTATCTTTTAAAGGGTTATATTATCGAGTTAGATTTGATGACAAAACATTAAACGAATGAATAGTATATTACTATCAAATGATCAAAATTGATATTATGATAATAGTGTGATCTGTTTTGAGATATATTTCCCCAACGTTTTTGATCCATAATAGGTGGATTTTGTAGCTAATGTAAAGAGCTCTTAGTAGTAAAAAAATGGTGTTGTTTGATTTTGTTGTTACAGAGATCGAAGATCTACACTAAACGGTCTGTTACTTAAAAGATAGTTTTTTGAGATTTTCGAGGTCGTATTTGGGCTATAAAATCGAAACGACTAAAGCAAAAAACTTGATATTTATAACAGTGTTGGAGGACCATGTCACCTACTATTTGAAGGAAAAAAAGTCTTGTTTTCTCTTTCTCTTTATATGAATAGGTATAGCATATCATATTGGTCATAAAATCGATTAATGCTCAAAAATATCGAATATTGACGCTTCTCAAACTTTTTATTTATCTGTGAAAAAATAAAAAGTTCCGTCACCAAAAATGCTTGTATTAATGAGATCTTTCAGTTGATATAAGATAATAAGAGATCTGGCGAAAAAAGTCCTGGGGGCCATTTTATGATCTTACAACTGCCCCTCCTTTCATTTTATTTGTTAGTTTAACTCAACTTTATATTACACATTAAGTTTTATTCTTTTCCTTATTTCCAAACATCGTTTTAAAAGAGCCACGAACTAATGTATTTTTTTAAATTTTATGCATATACTTCGACATTTGAAACCTATTATCACATTACATATACTCGTACAGAACGGCACAACTGTTATTTGAGATATCTACTATAATCTTTATACAATATCGTTTGTGACGTGTTGTTGCCTTCGCACAAAACCAATATTCACCTATAATGTTCAAAAATATTTTTTCTGCTCCGATTTCCTTCTATAAAAGATTGAATTGTTCCACGGTGGCTATCATCTTGAAAAGCTTTTCTTCTTAGTAAGAATGATTTCTAAGTGGTTAATTTCAAGATAGCATCATTATCTTTGCTCTTAGTAAATCTTTTATTCTGAAAACATGACCACTGAAGATAGATTAAGTATATTTCTATAACAATAAGGTTTATTGTTGTCGATTAAAAACTTTATAGTAAAATGACATAGTCTATACTGAAATTTCAGATATGGCTTGATAGTCTTGATGATTGATAGACACTCGAATAATTTTTCCTAACTTAGACAAAGGCATTACATATCTCTATAAGCATATGATATTTTGTGACTGAAAGCAACTGCTACGCAAAAGACTTTCGAATAATAGATCTGCATTGGTTAAAATTATGTTGATAATCTGATTTCTTCACTTTTTTCCAGTAGAACCATATTAATACTATCATCGTGCTTCTCTTGGAAGTTTTTAAGAGCAGGGGAAAAAGGAAACAATTTTCCCCTGCTAGCGTTCTATCAACACTAATCTTGTCAAAAATATATTTGAATATAAATATCAATCTTTCGGAACATATCTAATATATGTATGACTTTAATCTAAAAAAAAATGGTTATTTTAATTTTCTTTAATGGTCACAACAATAAAAAAAAGTAAAAAAGCTATCTGCAATGATCGAGACTCTCGTAATAAACATGAATAAGACGTTCACTATTGAGCAAATTACAGAACAAGTTTTAAAGCATTATAAACTTCATATTAAAAAAAATATTCATTGCTTAAGAGAAAACAAAGTACTGTATTTTTTTATCATAGCGCGCCAATTGAAAAAATAGTGGAAAAATGTGTTTGAAAAATTAACTATTGTTCATTTTCGTTTCAAGGAGCCTATAATGAAAAATATACAAAGTACCTGAAATGAGACTCTCTCGTTTTATCAATATTACGTGGAAAAATTTCTCAATTATTTCCTCAATTAACATCTGATTCAAATAGTATTGATGTTGACTTTCAATATGAAGGTAAAAAATAACAAAATAAAAAAATTTAAATTTAAACAAAAAATATTATAAAATGATATTCGTGGTCTTGTATTAGCAACATCTGATGGATGATGCTCCATTAAAATATCTTCCACCAAAATATGTTACCGTTATTTGCGATCGTTTGTTTTGTTTTTCTTTTCAGTTAAATACAAAATAAAACTTAAAAAGCTAGGTTGTAATTGGTCTCCAATAATTGCTATTCATTATAAATGTCTTAAATGTATTGATTATGATTTATGTGAATCATGTGCTGATCGTCAATTAATTCATTCTCATCATGTTATGGTAGAAATTCGAATACCTCATCAAATTAGTTGTTGTTTGTTGTTTTATTTATTTGAATGACTTTCATATAGATTAATGTTATTCGAAAACTTTGTTCATTATCTCGAACAAATTCTTATTGAAATGAAAAACAAAATTCAACAAATATTCCTGAGTTGATTGTTAATAAACGAATTGAGATTGAAAAAGAAAAATATTATAATTCAAAGGAAACACAAACAACATTTATTGAAGATAAACAAAATGAAGATGAACAAATTGGTGATGATATTGAAATAATTCCAATAAATATTATTTCAAATGATTTTGTTCAATTAGATTTAAATGAATGCAATGAAAAGTCAAATATAGTTTGGTTTCTTATTTAATATTTTTATTTTTTATTCTTCTGTAAATTTGGTTTTAGGGCAGTAAATTGAACAAAATCTTTGGCAATTGTAACAGTGATATTAGATATATTATTTCTATAAATATAGTCTCGACATATATCTTGTAGTTTTTTGTTTTTCCCCAGTAAAATCTTTTGTTTTGCTTTATATTTTATAATCAAGCAATTGTATTTAACGTTCGTTTTTATTTTTTATTTTTTTTCCTCATTTATATATTTGCTTTATTTACTGAAAATGTACATCAATTTTGTATAGAATTTCAATGTTAATTTTCATTATTTTTTAATTTAAATGAAGAAAATCATCCTTATAGATTAAATAAGAAGCAATTTCAATTTAACCTTTTAGTCAATTATAGATTTGATTTATTTGCTTTTGTATGCTGCTAAGAAAATATATATTTGTCTTGTTTCTTCTGTAAAAAAAATGATTTGTTGTTTTTTTTTAACATAATATACAAATTATTAAATTAAAATAGAATTAAAATAAATGAATATGTATAATTTTTCAAAAGTTGATCGACAATTGAAAAAAAGATTAAAAATATTCTTCATTTTTCCCATTATGAATAATTAACTATTATATCAAACAATTAAAAGTAGTTTATTCATTTTAATGAAAATTAATAATAAAACTGGATACGACAATTAAACATTTTAGACTGGAATTAATTCATCAATAAATAAAAGTCAATTGTTTTAAATAATATCATTTTGATCTCTTTTATTTTGATGTAATTATTTCGAGTAATATGTCTTATGAGGAAACATATCCAACTCTCAGATGCCGTTCAACCTCATATTTTGCTTATCAGTTAGACTTTGCGAAAATAAGAAAATATTAATTTTTATCTAAAATTATTAATTATTTTAATGAAAACAATTAACCCTTTCGCGGCGATATAAATATTGCTTTTTTATAATTTATGAGAGGTTTCATCTTCGTATTTGTGACGACTATAATAATTAAGAACAACTTTCATCAATGTTTCTCTGATGAATAAGAACTATGAACATTCTTTTATCAGTGATGAAAGAATCAATTCTTTGGATCAAAGCATGACAGAGATATTCAATTTTTTCTGTGGTCAATGAGCTTTTGGGGTATCTTATAATGTGACACAACGGTGGGTCACATCGCCGCGAAAGGGTTAAGATCAAATATCTATCAGAAACAAAAAAATTTAATTTTTAGATCAATATTAATGGATCATTCATCAAAATGTCGTGATAATGTTGATGAAGAAGAATATATGATACGTTGTTATAATACTGCTTATGGCCGATATTCAGCATGTCAACGAAAAGTTTACTTGCAACATTTAAGAGAACAGCATAAAATTAAAATCAGACCTCTCATTTTTGATATTTTTATTGATCGGACGAACCGAATTCGTGCACGACTTGGAACAATGTCCGTTGATGGAACTACGCAACTAGCATAAAAGTTTGTTGAAACATGGAACATTATATTTTTTTTCATTATTTATGATTTATATAGAAAATTAATTTTCATTTAGGTCGAACAATTGCATCAATTGAATGTACTACTGCAGATAAATGAATTGAAATAGATGCTGCTTCTGCTGAATTAACTGCTGAAATGAGTCCATTTAAAATATCTACTTTTGAAAAATTAAAGACAAATACGTTATTATCAAAATCACATATGCATCGTGATTATGTGCACTTTTATGAATTATCTCGTCTAAAAGAACTTTTAAATATGATTAATTCATATATGCATCATTATTCAAAACATGAACTATTTGAAGATAGTATAACACCGAAACAAGAAGAAAATCTTTGACCAACACTTGTTTTTTATCATGATCAATCTTATTACTATTAAAACGACATTCTTTATATATTTATACGAAAACAGTCAGATAAAACAATTTTTTTCTTTATAAAAACTTAACTGAAAAGTCTGATAAATTCGGTAGAAAACTTCTGTAAAATGCGATCTGATATAATCTCACCTCCTCTTTGCAAAAGTACAAGTTGGTAATTTCTATCTTGTGTCTATTAAGATTCAATGAAATAATCTTATTTAGTTTGTTTTTTCTTCTATTAGTCTTCCTTTTTCTAGAGTTCATATCCGAAGAGAAAGAACCCAGGTCAAACAGTCACACTCGTAAACGATCGTAGACGACGAAATACGGTGATACACAGGGAAAAACTGTCGTTTACGGTCCTCGTAGACAGTTCTATACGATCGTATATGGTTACGGCGATATACCCAGGTTGACGATTACGGACTTCGTATTCGACCTCGACACGATCGTTTACAGTCGTATTTTACCGTAATACATGGCTCAGTATTACGATCGTATATCGTTGTGACTGTATACGTTGTGGCATGACCGTTTACGGAGTAAAACGGGCATCATATACGGACTGCATATACAAAAAACGCGAACGACCGTATTTTCCTCCGTATATTGCTGTATTACTCCGTATACGACACGGTGATTTACGATCGTAAAACTGAGCCATGTATTTGGTCGTATTTCTCCGTATACGATCGTTTACAACCGTGCTTGTTCGATCTGAAAACCTTCATTCTATATACTTAATTTTTTTTGTTTGAACGAGTATGTCGGAATACAGTACATGAGAGAATCTTTACTTTTCTTAATATCTACTTTTAAGCAAAAGAAAAGTTTTATGTCTCAAAAAGTGGCGCTCTATTTTCAAAAGTACTCTTTTATATAATAGTAACAAAGTACATTCCTAAAACAAAGACTCTGTCATGCCCTGTCTCCTGACATGTACTTTCAAACAAAACAAAAACAAACTATTGGCTATGATGAAGTCCACTCGAGAAGTTTTGAATGCGCGATGAAAAAAGCATTATAGAGAGAGAAAAAACGAAAAAAGATTTTCTACTTTTTCTAAAAACAGCATATTTTTTCAGTAGATAATGGCAGAAATCATCAAAAATTTTTGGAAAAAAAACCAGAGTACGAAAAAAATCATGTCATTGATACAAGATCAGTATTTCGACTATTTTCCCATAGATTTATCTTAATTTTAATACTTTTTTTTTGAGGAGGGAGCATCAATGTTTTACAAAATTGAAGCTTTAATTAATATATTTTTATGAAAAAGCTATGTCTAGTCTTAAAGATTTTACATTGATAATCATAAAAGACTGAGATTGACATAATTTCTAGACTTTTCAACTCTAAAGATCATTACCAAAAGCCTCAAAATCATGTTTTCTTTTGAAAACAAGTCTTTGAATTAAAAATTATGAAAATAAATGGAGCACAATATACACCTATTGTCTGCTATTGCAGGAACAAGTTTAGTGTAAAAGATAAATGCATAACTAACGATATAAGCCTAAAGATAATATCAACAATCTTCCGGCATATTTGATGTATGGAAATGCTAAAAAGCATATTGTCATAAAAAAAAACAAATCAAAGAAATATTACCAAAGTCCTACTATCAATTGAGATAATCGTTAATTGTGCATATAACTTTGGTCATTTATCTTCATGTGAAAATCTCTCAGATCAAAGACTTTAAATTAATCCTCTTTCGATTATCGTATCAATAATAATCTTGATATTCTATAAATTACATACTTTATTTATTATATCTACAGATATTTACCAAGTTTATTTGATATTCGATAGGTTGTCATCAGATATATTATTTTTTATATTTTTTAAGACAAGAAATACATCTAATATATTAAGTGATATAAGAATCGGTTGCTCTACTTTGTCTATTTGATTTTTAAGCATTTTTTTGTTCTAAAATCAAATTTATGTCTTTTTTTTGGGTTGATTTTTTTGTTTTTTGATATAATAACAACAAAATAAAATTTCGAAAAATCTTCCGCACAAATACACTCTGCTTAAGTCAGCTATTAATGCAAAAAAAAAACCTGAAAAACAAACAAAGAAGAGACATAAAAATAGCTTGTCACACTTATAAGAAGAAAAAAAAATTCTCTTTTGTTTTTCAATTATTCGGATGTTAAAAAGAACAAATAAAAATAATAATTTAGTCGATCACTGTTGTACAGCTACATACATAAATCTATATCGTTGCATCATACCATAGATAAGACAGACAATATATCATTGCATATAAATAAAAATACATTAAGAAGAAGAGAAAAAAAAACAGAAGAAAAAAACATATACATATACAGATACAAATGATAGACTGACAATGAGAAAAACTTATTCTTAGAAAACACACACACGTACACACATACAGAAAATTGGTATGCAACAATGCGTAGCTATGAACCGGACGATTGCATAGAAAAAAAAACGACAAAATACTGCGACTGATCTTCTTTATGTATGTATGCGTATAGATATTTTTTCTTGTTCATTATTAGTAAATTTTTTTTTGTAATTTTGTATGAGTTTTTGCTTTGTCAAAAAAAATAAAAGACGACAAATAAAAGAAAAGATTAAAAATACAGATTAATGAGTAATTAGAATTCCACCAATTTCAGAAGCAATTCTATTTAAGATAATCACATAAAAAATAATTTTACAATAGATTTACTTTTATTTACCTTGAATGAATTAAAAATTCAGCCAATTGTATTTGTTCAGGTGTACCAGAAATAGTAACATGTCTATCTTGTGAACCTTCATCTAAATCGGCTATTTTGATGTTAGCTCCAGATGCTTGTCTACAATAAGTATTAACAGATGATGTTAATAAAAACAAAAACAAATAAGAAAATGAATTCCACCTGATCTCAGAAATCTTTTGTCCACCTCGACCAATAATACAACCAATGAGATCATTAGCAATAGTTATCTCCCGTTGTGTCTGTAAAGTAGCACGATTTGGTGGAAGACCATTTGGTATTAAGGATGCTGCTAAATAACAATAAGACAATTTTTTATTTCTTTTCAACTATATTTCATTTGTTCCGTTAGAACAAATTTCTTTTCTTTTTTTTCTTCTTTTCAACCATTAACTTATCATTAGTAAGAGAATAGAATATCATTCTTTCTTTTTTCAACATCGATTGTAAGAAAAAAAATCATTAGAGAAAAGAATCAAATCAATCGTCTTACCAGCTGGTACAGGCACACCCGGTGCAAGAGGAGCCAATGGACCGAATGCATTTAACTAGAATAAATTAAAACAAACGATATTATGTTTTTGTATTTAATAAGATTTATCTTACTTCATTTGGTGGCAAGGGAATCGCAAATTGACCTTGGACTTGATAAGCTTGTCCATTAGCAAAAATGATAGGTGCATGCATGGGTGATATCATCATTTTAGGTCGATATGGGATTGTTTCACCTTTGGGTGGCGACTGCTAAATTATTTATATTAATGATACATATATTAAATAAATCATTTTTTTATACTTCAAGCATAATATGACATATTTGTCGGAAACATGATTCAATCGACTCAAGTTTTCCTGATATAGTTACAGCGCGTTCTGTTGATGATGGCAACATTTCGGAAGCAACTTGTACAGATGCTCCTGTTGTCTATAAATGAATAAGAAAAAAAATTAAAAATAAAATCTTTTGTATAGAAAAATAAAAATAAAAATAAAAACAAACCTCTCGAATTTCTTTTATTTTTGCACCACCTTTACCAATAATTGAACCACATTGACTTGCTGGTACAACAAGACGTAATGTAATTGGAGGAATAGTTGTACATGTTTGTTTTAAATCCTATGATGAAATCAATAATTTCAATAAATATATTTAATAAATAAATCCTACATCTTCAAATTTTTGACAAATCATTCCAAAGGCTTTTGCTAATGTTTCTATAGTACCAACCATTGTAACAATACGTTCTGGTGTTGTTCCATCACTAATATTAATACGAGCGCCACTCTAAAATATAAATAATAGGTTTAATTATTTTTACATTAATTTATATACTTCTTCTCGAATGGCTTTTATGTTATCACCACGTTTTCCAATGATGCTACCGACTTCCTAAATTTCATGAATAAGGAAATGATGAATTATTATGAAAAAAAAATTCAAACAAAAGAAGATCACTTACTTTGCCTTGCATAAGTAATCGAATTGTAAGAAAATGATCAGGTTCACTTGATACTCTACTTTCATTATGTTGTTGTTGAATGGTAGTCATATTCTGTGAATTTGTTGTATTTAATTGAACAACTGAATGATGTGTTCCATTATCCATCATCATGATTCTGTTTTTATTTCGTTTTATTGATTATAATAGGGACAGATATCGTAGGTGAAAATCAAGGGCAGGTAGGTCGTGATAAATGTGTAAAAAGACGAAGGGTGGAGGGTACCTTAAAAAAAGAAAAAAAAAATAATTATTAAATTTGTGCACTAGCTTTATTATTAGTAATGTTTTGTCTTCAATCTATTTCTTTTGAGTACGGATTTTTCAGCAATGAAGGGTCTTGATTTTCTTTTTTTATCATGCCGGATACCCTTCTCTCTTTTCCGGATGTAGTGGCGTCAGAGAAAAAACGAAGCGAGTTGTTGGCACCCATCACCAGTCGTCTCGTTTGCCTTTTCTAGTAATTGCTCTCGTTCTCTTTTTCTTTCAATAGCGTTATATTTTTATTGAAAAACTCAAGAGAGAGAGAGAGAACCATCAATATTTCACTATTGGTACTCGTTGTTGGCTCTTTCTCTATCTTTCTCTGTTGTATTAATAATTCATTACGACATGATCGGTGAACGATTAATTCTCTTTCTACGCAGAGAAGCGATTTCTCTCTTTTCTAATTTCCTTCTGTCTATCTTAGAACCACCACCACAAGATTCTATTATCATTCTTTCAAGAACACTCGGCTTTCTTGACAGTACCATTTATCGAGCAAATGAATGTATACTAAGCAGAAAGCGCTTGCACAAGAGAGAAAGAGGAAATCTGTAATGAATTATCTGTCTTTCTTTCATTCTCAGTTATTCTCATCTGAGGAGATGTGCTTTTGTACTCATGCAACATATGTTTAGTTGGCGACAACAACAAAAAAAAGATAATACAAGAAAAGAGTCATATCATAGAAGAATCTCAAGTGACCAAATTTCAACACTATCCATCGAAGTAGAACGACAGATTGGAAGGACTACTTGTCAATATTCTTATATATATACATACTCAGGCGTATATTGACGAGATTAGTTGGCAAACATAATTTATACTAAGAATGACGTGAAATACTTCTTATTGTATAAGTTGTCGAGATTTTGACAACGACACACATTTAGAAGTGTTTCTCTACTACTTTTATTCTCGTAGCGAAGAAAATTAATTGCTCAAGACGATTGTCATTTTTGTTCTCGTCATCATTAGAAATGAGTGTATTACTTTGAGGTCTACATATTACGTCTAATTGACAATAACTTATATTACAGTAAATTCAGCTTGCCGAGCCATATGTTCTTTGTTGAGAAAACACATGTGAACAGTGACATTGCTTTTTTTGTTAATGTAATAATAAAATTAAAAATAGAAAATATCTTTTGCTACTCGTCAAAAAGTCATCTATTTTGTTGAAAGTTTCTTTTTTTACCTTCTTCAAAAAAGGAAAAATGTCTCAATCAAAACGAGTATGTTGCGTATAAGGTAATTGTTTGTGAATAGGAAGGATGGTTTAGTGACCTCAATTAGTGGTTGCGTGACCAAAGAACATATGTATCGTTCAAAGAATATGTGTGCGTGATGTCAATTAGAATACAACAGGCTTACTATAGCATAAAAAAGAAAAATATTATGTATCTATATTTATAAAAATGCGATAAAGAACAGGTTTCTGTTGACATAAATGTAGACTATTTCAAATCGATAAAAAAGCCTCCAATAAATTCAACAGAAACATGCATCTAATTTAAATAGGTTTCTATTTTTTAACCACGAAAACTACTACTACATATCAGGAACAATCTATCTGTTTGTACTTACTTTGCGTTTTCTTTAGCTGAAAGTTTAGCATTAGCATGAGGTTCTAAAAACTTTTTGCATTTTCTATCTTTTATTATTTTTTTTCTCTTTTTCTATTCCCTATCATTATAACGAAAATGGTTCTCCTTTTTTTATACTTTACACTCGTCATCTTTTCTGTTAGTCTAGATGTATCGTGCATTTGACACACACATATACGACGTTGTGAACGCTAAAAAAATCTCAACGGATACTAATCTCTTTTCTTTTCTTTTCTCGTTCTCTCTTTTTTTTCTTTGTCTGACAAGCAAACAAGAGACGTTCGAAACTGCGGATGAGCAGTATAGTAGTTGCTGCTATTTTTACTAGTAGATGAGTGATGAGAAAGAAGAGAATTGTATTCTTCGTAACTACTGTCGCATCAACATTAGAACACTAAAATCAACGATGCTCAAAGAATATAATCAGATTATATACGACGAATAGAGGATGAATGTTCATTCTTGAAGTATAATGAGAGACTTATACTGGCTAACATTCAGTTTCCTAATAAATATAGACTACCCTAGTATTAACGCATTCTTCTTTTATGAAAGCCTACGCATATAGTCAGGAAGCAATCTTTGAGCAAACACTTTATTCTCAAAATGCAGTTTCCTGCATTGTTTTTTGGCGGATTAGAAGGCTGATCGTGCACCCATGTGTCTCAACAATATGTTCTGATCATAATTATATTGAAGGCACCATTTATTTCTTTTATTTTTTGATATAAAATGAACATAAATAGTTCATTACCTGAATAAGACTAACGTAAATAAGAATGGAAAACGTTAGTCGAAGTCAAAATCCGAAAGGAAAGAAACTACTAGATTATTATTGAATATGGAAAAAAAAGGAAGAAGTAGTTGGAGGAGGAGAAGAAGAAAAAGGAGAAAAAAGGGAGAGAGAGCGAGAAAAAAAAACAAGACAGGCAGAGAGCGAGACGATCTGGGCCGTTAATCAACAATCTCATCTCTTTCTTCTTTGCCTTCTTCTTCTTCTTTCTAATCTTGTGTTGCTACTCCTCTACTCGTGCTGCTTTATCCATTGTCAGAACAATTTTCACCCTGACACGAGCGCATGCGTCATTGTTCGCATAAACAAAAAGAATTATCTTCATACAATCATCCATTGATGAACACGAGGCAAACGTAAGAACCGCTTGTTCTAGCAGAACTAATTGATGTATATGTGTTTGTCTATATTTCGGGTTGAAATCTCATTTACATATATCTATTCCCTAAGAAACAACTAAAACCAACATGCAGACATAATATATCCAGATTCGTTTTAACATTTCTTTTTGCTCGTCGTTTCGATGTATAACAGTTTTTTTTAAATGGCTATGGTGTCTCTTATAAACAGAGTTAACCTTCGCTGCACACATACACATTCATATACAATAAATAGAAATCGAAGGATAGAATTCTCGATAGAATATTTCACTGTAAAAATATAAATAAAGAATGATGATAGTTTCAAGTAAAGCAAACTAAAAATATCAAGTTTACTTATCATTATTGTCACCACAAAGTATAGCAGATATAAATATAGCAAAGCTGTATCTTGTCAGCGCAATGAATGAAGAATGGAAAATGAAAATTAATCGTGCAACTGTCTGATTGACTGTTACATACGAGTAGAATGATGAGTTTTTTTTTAGAGTACTAATGCGCATAATCGATAAACTGTCTCGGTATTCTATATATGGTTGATGATGACGATCGAATTAACACATGCTGCTAGAGGGCGGACGAACACAAATCGGCAAACAGTCAATATTAACATTTCTACTCAGTAGGATAGATATCTAATGAATGTAGAAGATGAAATGCTCTAACTAGTATATTTTGTTGTCTTAACATATATTTAAATGCAATACAGATATACCAGCATCGATCTAACTCTTCCTCAACTGATGACTTTGATGTGATATTCGACACATCTGTTTAGAAAGTGACTATCATACATATAAAAATCAGTCAGTTATACTTACAGAAAATAGAAGAATAAAAAGACAACAATCAATACAAAATCTCTGTAGGATTGTGAGTTCACAAATGTTTGCTAATAGAAAATAATAAATTGTTTCTCTTTTTCTTCTTTTTCTCTTTTTTTATCTCGTGGTTCTTTTTTGCAGTAGCAAGAACAACAACGTGGACTCAAGTATTATAACGATTGTTGTTTGTTATTGTCGTCTTGCTTGTTATCGTACAGAAAGATGGAAAAAAGTCATTGGCACTAATGTCTATTCAATGGCATTCGCAATGCATGCAATAATAGTACAAAGAACGAGAGAAACTACAGAAAATAGACTCGTCGTTAGCGCTGCTAATATGGTGCTGCTCGAGAATAACGCGGGATTTCCTCTATTGCATTTGCACTGGCATACTGTTACAGAAACAATCATCCGACAGCCGAAAGCAAAGAATGTTCGCCAAACAAAAGAAGAAACTAGCATCACGCAGGTTTTCGTGACGTATTCTCTATTTTGCTCTGTGTCTTCTATCATCACTCTAAATGTACTGTCGTTCCGTTCTACTGCAACATCAACGACAGATCATCTAAATATATATGCGTATATACATATAAATATATATTAGTTTGAAGAGTCTTTGGTTGGTTGGGTGGATGATTTGGATGACAATTAGACAGGACGAGATGTTCAGCCTTCTCTTTTCCATCTATCAATCTATTTCTCGCTTAATAATATTGAAATAATGCAGTAACTAAAATAAACCTATTCTATTACTGAGTGGTTTATAAAGAGAAAATACTCTAAATAGAAGATCTACTTCCTAATGTAAAATATCTCATCTCAAGCATACTTATCCATGTACCTATACACACACACTTAAAACGACAAAGAAAAAGGCATGTAAAAAAAATGAATGAAGCATGTACTCAAAGATAGCCGAATCATTTTTGAACGTCAACATATAAGGGAATTTATCTAAGATATAGTAAGTATTTCTTTTGAGATGACTGATTTATCAGAATAGATTGAGAGTTACGACTTTTGAGATTCAATTGAAAGGTCTTGATATGTATTTAATTGATCAAGTCAATTGAGGGTGGCAATTCTCAAGTGAATATATATGTTGTGTCATTTATCATCATAGAATGGTAACGATTAAAAGAAATGAGTAAAAGAACAAACGACATTCCATCAATCATTGGAAAATGGAACAAGAAACTTATTTAACCTTGTTAAGCCTAAAGCTAAAAGCGACATCAACATTAGA